CAGTTGTCAGTTTTACTCAGAAACACTGGCACAGTGGAGTTGGCCTCTCCTTTAACACCCAGTTTTCCATCTTCATCATAGTAACCACAATTCTTGGGGCTTTGAACTCAAGCCAACACCACTGCTCCATGTTCATGTTAATAAACCCTACAGTTTTTCCATCTGCTCCTCACCAAATCACTTGATTTTTAACTATCTCTACTAGCTGATCCTATTTGGCCAGGGAAAACGGTCCTACAGGATACAGAAAGTTAACTTCAGACTGGCTGCCCCTTTGTCAGGGGTGTTTCTCCCCATTTATAACCTATGGCTGCTTGTCTATCTGTTGTTCCTAAAGCCAAGAAGTACTTGGGGAATTCCTACACCTCCTTTTATACTAGACTCCAGACACAAACTGGTGTCTTTTGTCCTGGCTGCTCTTATAAGCCTCACAATTAGCCCAGAGGGGTGATCAGTCACACACAGACCCAATCTCACTAGCTGCTTTCCTCATGTGGAATGTCACTCACTCTGAGTGCAAATTGCTAATTAAGAGCAGCTGTGAGTCATTCAACAGGCTCTTCCAATGAACAGTTAGACATCCTAGCAGTATCCTAAGTCAGGTCTAACAAGCACATTGTGGAAATCATGACATGTTTTCCTTAGATTTCAAGTCCCCACTTTGCTCTACATAAAACAGAATTCTGTAGGCTTTTTTCAATTGCTTCTGCACATTGTCTCAAAGATAATCAGTTACCACCAGGTGATAACCAGCAGGTGTGGGAGTCTTTCTTTTCCAAGATGGACAGCTGGATTTTGCATCTTAGTGGTCATGGGTTCTGTTTGCCACATCAGTGTGGTGGAAAAGCAATGCAGCACTTCACTAACATTTGTGGGCCAGATGGCCATCATTCTGGTATTTTTAATACTGTAAAGGGGATAAACAGAAGGAAATAGAAAACAACAAAACCCCAAAATGTTCTTAATTACAGACCAAATGTAAAAGCCCTTTCAGTCCAAACCCACAACCCCACTGTGTCAGGTAATGTTTTGCTTGTAAAAATGTCCTTGAACACAACTGGAGTTAAAAGAAAAAGAAGTGTCAGTTTGAAAACTGTAGTGAGGAGCAGTTTGATCTCATTCCCAACTAGAGATTTCTAAGTTGTAACTGGCTGCAAATGGCCCGAAATGCCATTTATTGGTATGAACTGGTTTAAACTGCTCACCAGTTCAATCCTACTGGTAATAAACCAATTTAATAGTAGAATGTAAACTGACTCTTGAAAAGTGGTGCTGTGATAAACTGGTCTGTACTGGGTTGTGAAACATTCTGAACTGGAAGGAGCTGGTCACCAGTAGCTACAAGCTGAATCTTGTCCACTTAGGTTCCTTCTGTTTGTAAGTGGATTTTAAGTTCTCTTCCCCCTCTCCCTCCCTGCCTGCCTGCCTCCCCGTCTTCTGCTGATTTTCCAAGAGTGTTGTCCTCTGCTTCCTGAAAACTGTCATCCTTTCCAAAAGCCGATTGGTCGCCATAGCAACCCCCTACACACAACACAGCCAGAGCTGGCGTTCCGCGCGGCGGGCCGAGAGCCAGGCCTCAGAGCTGAATACAGGGGTCGCCCAGTCTGTGCGCTGGGGTAGGCTCACCCCAGCCTCACACACTCCGTCCCTGACCCCTCACAGCTCCGACGGCCACGGTGCCAAAGCTGCCAAACTTCACTCTGGCTTCACTTCTGTTGTCATTGCTCATGTTTGTTTGTTTTCCTCTTCTTCTCTCCCCCCTTTGGAAGGAGACCAAACAAGCTGCGATCCGTTAAGCACAAAGCGAATCGTTTCGCTCTTTGGAGTCCGGGTGACGGTTCGACTTTTTACTCTGCGTTTCAGAAATATTGCATTTCTCGGGGCGACAGCACCAACATCTGCAGGAATATAAGGATCTATTTTCCAGCAGATGGAGAGAAATGGATCTGTACTAATCGGCTTCAAGAGTCCAACCGCACATCACACAGGGCTCTCAGGTTCTAATGAATTTTTTCGTTCAATTAATTTGCCCAGCTTAGAATCTGTACCAAAAGCCCACAACAGCTGGGGGGGGGGGGATGTGTTTCCCATTACACATGAAAGCCAAGCCGTTGTTGCCTTTTGCTGGCAGAAAGCATTTTCTTTATTTAAACAACGCCAGACAATGTAAAGTTGTATTAGCAACATTTACTGACAGTCATTGGTAACAAGAGACTGTGCAGGCTGGCTACCAGGAGCCGCTGGCTGGGTTTAATGGTTGTTTTAGTCAGGAAAGGCAGCAGCTACCACTCAGGTCTATCAGATTACTCTCGCCCTCAAGGCTTACCTGACTGTCAGGCTTGTCAGGTCCAATTTTGTCCGAGTCAGAGCTTAGGACTGGGCCAAAATGGAAAGACAAATGCTCCCTCTCTCTTTTTTTCAATTCACTCTTTCCAGTCGGTTTCTCTGTGCACCAGGATGGGTTTTTCATTTCTCTCCGTCGGTCTGGTTACCCCTTCCCACTCTTGGCTCGTGTGGTTTGGATATCAGAGTGTGGCGCTGAAATGTCTGGAGGGAATGGTAATTGCACTTAATAGACACTGGAAGCAGAGAGGCACGTTGACCACACCGGCTCTCCACGAACTCGCATCCTCTGCCTGCTTTGTAAGCAAATATTTTGGTGCGGCTTCTAATTTGACGTTTAATAGAGCTCATGCGTGTCTCTACATGTTGGCTGCTAATTCAGAAGAATTTACTTTCCCTTTTTGAGTTGCAATGAGGAAAAATCTCCATCTGAGATAGAGGAGACACTCTGCAGGAGTGTATGCGTGTTTTAACACTGAATGCCCAGAGACCTGCTGTAAGAACATTTTCTGTTTTAAAGTTTCCATGTGAAAAGGGCCTTTCAGCCCAATTTAGAGGCCTACTTGCTTGTAGTTCATTGAAGCCAGAATCTTATTCAACTGTCTCTCCCAATTTAGCTTTTTTGCACTGGTTCTGCGATTGCTGTCCATCTTTACGGACTCCTGGCTATGTCATTGATCTCCCTGTCCATCTACACATTGTTTGTACTCGATGGGCAACAGCTTCCATTCAGGTCACAAGGCTTGGCTCTGAACCTGCAATTATTGTTCTGCTGTTCGAGGCCTGTGGAAGTGTCTCTCAGCCCATATTAGATCTTGCAGGTCAGTCAGCAAAGACTCACTTTTCTGAAGTAGGTTTTCATTCAGCTTTTGTGTTGTTTTACCATGCAGCTCCTTACTCTATTGTGTCATTCAAAGGAGCTAAATGACACAATCATTTTGTCATTAAAGAGGCTTGAGCAGCTTGGCTGGGGGGCTTTGGAGCACTGCCAGCGTTCATTCCTCCTCATGACCTCATGTCTACACACATTGAGTGTCTCCTTATACTCCCACATCTTGCGTGGTCTGCGTCTGCTTTCCAAAGCTATTTGATTTCCCAGCAGGATCCCAGCTATCTGCCTTCATTCCCCTTCCAGTGGCCTGTCTACAGGTTGGGATGTACCCAGCTTGATCACTTGGTACATCCTATGCTCTCTGCAGGTTCTCCCCTGTCCTGTTTTCTCACATCATTCTCTTGCTTCTCTTCACACTCTCCTAGTCTTTTCATTAACTCTCTTCACTACATATGGTAGGACCCTCACTGCATGGCAGCCAGCTTCCTCTCGTCTCATCTTCTTAGTCTTCTTACTAATGGCCAGTTCTCAACCCTTCACTCTCTCCCATTTCCTCATTCTCTCCAGCTGACACTGTTTGGCCAGAGATGCTTTTCTATAGTAAACCAAGCATCCCTGACATGGAGGCAACCGTTTCTGTTGTTTCTTTTCTTCACTACCTGCCCAGGTGTTGATACCACGCGACTTGCCAGTCTAGTACTCGTGTCCGAGATTAAGACAGCCTTTGCTGTATCGTCTTAAGGTCTTCCTGCTTCTGGGTCCTACAGGCCTGCTTACCCAATTCAGAGATCCAGCAAGAATGCCTACCTGCAAAGCGCTTACTCTCTTTCCTTTCCAGCTGAAACCTAGATGCAGACTAAATCCTTTTCTTCTCAACCAGTTTTCTAGGCCTTTAATTACCCTTAGGGATTCCACACAGAGCCTATCCTGTGATCTCTTTTCCCTCACACAGCATTCCAATCACACTAAGGGCTCAAGACTTACTTTGGCCAGATGCGTCTGATTCTCCATCTTTTCTCAATATACTGGTGGCCTTCTTGGCTAAAGGCCACACCACTGGGCCTGGGTTGGAGCAAATATGGTGTCTTCCTCCTGGAGCCTTCTTTCTCACTACACCAGCTGCTGCCCACAAGACCCACAAGACTCGTTGAGAGAAGAAGTTCTCTCCTTTTCAAGTCTTTAAATTCCAATTCCTTCTTTTGTTGTCGCTTATGCTGACGAAGTTTCTTGGGCCACCCTTCAAGGTTTTGTTACCTCGAAGCATTCGAAGCCCTTCAAACACAATTCCTCTGCTGTCTGGGAAAATAATGTGGTCGGTGGTGCCAGCACTGTTGATGTCAAGTTTACTCTGTGCCTCTCGTGGCGAACAAAGAAGATAGGAGAGAACAACTTTCCAGACGCCGAAAAAAGTTTGCCTTTTTGTGCTTTCCCAGGAGGAGACTATGACATTTCCACCCAGCTGGATCACTTGGTACATCCTACGCTCTCCCCACCAGAGCTGCAGTGGGATGGAAATGAATGTTCCTTAGACAGGGGGCGGGGTTTTTTATGAAGAACTGTCAGAGTGTTCTGCCAAACTGGACCAAACCTCTGGCAGCTTGAACCAATTATAACAGCTCAGACTGCACATCCAAAAACAACAGCAGCTGGCAGTTTCTGTGTTTTTTTTAAAGAAAAAATACACCTCTGTTTTTGCTACGTCAGACTTGAAATTATTTTTGTTTGTTTGTTTTGTTTTTCGGCTCAGCCACGAAATTTCACTGGGGCTCAATTTATTTCTATTTCTGTGTCCTTCTCCTGCCTAGGGCTGAGGCTTTGGGTTCCTAAGAGGTACAGACGCGCAGTGAAATAGAGAGTGGCCGTTTCACCTGCCGACTAAGAGCACAAGGTGGAGAGAGAGAGACAGAGAGACACATGTGGAGAGAGACACTCCAAAGCGGGCCTGCGTTTGGATTTTGTCTGCATCGAATAACAGTAGGACTGGATAAGGATAGTAAACGCTACAGCTCGGAAGAATCATCGATTGCAAAACCAGAGAGACCCTGTAAAACATACACACGAGAAAAACAGCTTTTGGGATTGTACTGAAGGAAAGAGACAGAAATAGACAAGAAAAACAGAGGCGAAAACTGTCAAATAAAGGCTCTTCTGAGTGACTCTGTGGGACAGTTCTGATATCTGGTCAGCAGTGGCGGTGTTCCAAGTGTCTTTGTGTGACACGTTGTGAATGAAGAAAAGAGTCCTTTTTAAAAAAAGGTCTGCGCTCTTAGCCAAGGGGAGCTACTGATATTTCAGACATTTAAGAGGACTCTTTTCCCCTGTCCAAACCCACTGGCGTGCTGGCTCAGAATGAGCTCGTGTTTCTGCGGGGTGGAGGAACAAGCGAGGGTTTCTTCAGCTTGAAATAAAGGCGGCCTTGTGTACGGTGAGGACGGGCAGCCTGACAGAGGGAGGGATTGAGGTCTTTGGGACCCTCCGCCTCACAGGGCGAGAACGAGAGGCCCCAGGGCTCCAGCGACTCGGGGCTGTCGCTGTGTCTCCTCGGCTGGCTCCAGGGGTCTTCTTCTCAGTGCTGTGCGAGAACCCGTGCAACTCACAAGCGTTGGCAAGACCACAGGGTACACGACACTGGGAGCTCATCGGGCAGGATTGCATGACTTTCTGCTTTGTCTCTTATTAATTAAAGAGTGGGAACAGTGAGTGCACCCTTGAAGCCCGTGGATAGTCTGGGATTACTCGTTTTCTGTGTGCTGTTTTACCTCTCCCAGTCTAACCTGCAGTTGAAGAAGGCTGTACTAGTGACATCAGGTAACTTATTTTTTTAGATCTGTTCATTTTGATGTTAACTCTTCATCTCGTTCTTTTCCCTTTCTTTTTCACCAAAAGATGTTCTTTTGTTAAAGATTTCCCCTCTGTTGTGGAGCTCTTGTGCACCTCCTGTGTGCTTCACTGTGTGTTACACAAACTGCAGCCTAGCGTGGCAGCCAGCTCTCACCATGTGCCAGAAATTGTTAGTACCCTAACAATTACTAATTAACAATTAGTTAGTGTGGGGTGAGGTTAGAGTATGAGAATTGAAAAATGTGTTGCTTTTATTGAAGAACATAAATGAAACAGTGTGAACCAGAAGAAACCTATGTGTTTCTGTGAGGTTGCAAATAGCTTATTTGAACTTGAACTTGAACTTGAACTTTATTGCCTTATGTAACCGGTACTGGTACAATGGAATTCTTACTTACAGAGAGTCTCTCGATTGTAAAACAAGTGTTAAAAGTGCAAACAGTGCATCAAGACAATATACAAACAAACAGTAGACAATGTGCAAGTAAACATGTAGACAGTTTGAATGTAAACAATACAGACGTGTAAACAATGACTGGAGATGTGCAATAGTTAAGAAATCATAAAGAGGTAGATGGTGATGGTGTAGGTGTGGTCCGAGGGGGATGGCTAAATGTGTTCGCCAGTCTCACTGCTTGTGGATAGAAGCTATTGAAGAATCTAGTGGTAAGTGTCCGTATGCTCTTATATCTCTTGCCTGTATATTTTGTCTGTATGCAAAGACATGAAGCAGATTTTCAGAAAAATCCTTCTCTTTCATTTTTAATTTTAAAACTTTTCTCAATTTTGCCCTTTTTCTGTCCTAAGGTCTTATACCGATCCCTTTTTCCTGATTTAGACTGAGCTCCTATGCTTCTTTCTCTTTCTGACTTTCATCCTTATGCGAAACACTTACATCCCTTTAAAAAACAGGAGGACAGACTGCCAATGGGTGCCCTCTGAACCTGCTGTGGGCATGACCTTCTTGTCTTACCCTATCAGCAAGTAAGAATGAGGGAGTCTCTTCATGCAGACAGAGTTCGTCTGGCCAGGATGGCCTGTGGAGTGGACAGAGTGGGTTGCTCTTGTGTAATGGTTAAATACAGTGATCCACAGATGCAGTATTTAACCTCCCCCTTGTCTCTGGGAAAACACAACACCTAGCGTAGCCTCGTCCTTGGATGCCAACCAAAACTATCAACCGGGTGACTCTGGGATCTCCCACTTGAGGCCACACCTGGTACTCCACTCACATTGATTGTCCATTTCTGCACCATGCCTGGGGTGGGATCCAGGCTATCTGGACAAAATGCAAACCCTTGTCACATTTACTTAGACTCTGCATAATGCACAAGGTAGACCAACCAAATGACAATGCTCCTTTAAAACCCTGGTCACCTGCCTGCAACTTGTAGCCTGCTGTCAGATTTGTACAAAAGGCAGATCACTGAGCCAGACAAAGGACTAGAAATCTTGAACAGGGTTAAGAGAACATCCCTCTGGCTGTGACTGGCTGCACTGGTTTCTGGTTGGTAGAATACATCTTCTGGATGCAGACAGAGCCCCGGTAGCCTGTCACTGCAGGACAGAGCAGGCTATCGGGAGGGAGAGAGACTGAGATTGCCAATCAGCACTTGAGTTAATGTCACTCTGCACCACGATGCAGCTCTTTGTCAGGAGAGTGATGTTGGCAAAACCAGAATGTTTCATGTCTTCCCTTGTACAATACAAAGGATCCTGTTTTCCTTAATGACCAGACACAGACAATGCATAGATTATTTCTCAGCTGCTGCAAGCACCCCTTGATTTAGTTTTTGGACTCAAAGTGCGCCAAGTTCCGAACAATTCAAGAGCCAGCCTTGCACTGCCTTTTTTAATTGAGCTGTTTACGTCTCTGAAATTCATTTACATGTTGGACTCTGCAGCTATTTTTCTTAAATTTCTTTGAACACCTCACATTTTAGACTGTCCATTTATTAATCAGCTTGGTTGAGCGCTACGTCCACCACGACAGCCAAAGAGGGCGAGGGAGCCTGTAGGAAATGAAGTGTGGTCAGTGTCTACAGGAGACTGGGCGTCAGCTGGTGAAGAGACCGGTTCTCATTGATAACAGGCTCTGGGGATTCTGACAATACCAGGGGAACTCTTGGGCTACTTTTTGCTTTCCAGGGAGCGATGGAGGCTCTCCCTCATTTTCTTCAGTTCTTCTTCCCCCTTATTCATTTCAAAGCTCTCTTTCTTTTGGAGGAACCTTGCACAGTCTTGGCGTGGTGTCAGATGAGTGTACATTGGGGTGTGTAGCCCCTCAGTGTGGAGCCCGATTCCCCAACTGACCCAACCACCCCTATCCCCTCTGTCTCTCAGCCCATTGTGCCGGTCTTCATAGAGAGTCCCTGTAACGATCAGTTAATGAATGAACTGGCAAATCAGACATACTGTACTGTATGCACCTTATTGGGCTTAAACGGAGCTCCAAATTACATTTCAGGGCCCTCAAGAACACCCTAATGTCTGCCTACATGAGATAAACTGTCCATCATGATTGCTTTCGGTCATTAAAATTTGTTGTCCACTACAGCAAAAGGAAGTAAATGTGTACAGTTACACCCGTGGCATCTGTTCGTTGCTTCTTATTATACATGAGAATACTGTTCTTGGACCCGATAACTGTTCCCTTTCAAACACAGTTACACGTTTGAGTGGAAGAAGCTGTCAGCTGTAGCCTAGTGTCAAGTGTGGCCTATGTTGTAACTATGACAGTGCAGTGTTAATTATAACCAGATTTGTTTCGTGAGTTAATGTATTGTTTCCCTGACACCAGTGTGGAACGAAGGAGATGTTCCCACACAGCTGCAGGGTCCTGTCTATAAAAAGTGCTGGGAAATCAGGGCAGAAAGTAGAGAGGCAACAGACGCAACATCTGGACAGAGAACAGTATGTGTCTGTTTGCACAACACCGGATGAGATTATTTATTCGAATTCCCTTTTACTTTATTTCCACATCCCTATTGCTTTTAACTTCCAGACAGAGAGGAAAAAAAAACTATGTCCAGATTCTGAATTCCAAACTGGACAGCATACTGCAGTCTTACTATTGGAATTTTCTGTCCTTGTTTTGTGAAATCTTTTGTCTACTTACTCATAAAGCCCTTGAAAGTCAATTTCCCCCGTCTAATTTTTGGAGTTGATAGACTGTGAACAAGATGGTGGTTTTCTCTCTCAATATCAGAGCTCGTTAGGAGGTGCGATTATTGTTCCTGTACGCGGGGGGGGCTGTCTCTTCCAGATGCGTTGCTATGAGAGCCGACGTGGGGGGCTGGAAGCTGGGGTGACATCACTTTCTGACATGGGCCTCACGTGGGAATGAGAAAAACTGTCACCTGCTCAAACCCGCAACGCAGCTGGCAAATCACTTCACTGACTGCACAAGCAGAAGCCTAGAACAGAGAAACTATGCTTGTATCCGTAATTACATGGGCTTCAAAGGCTTTCTGTTCAAGAAGCTGGATCGCGTCTGATAACAATACCCAAGGGTCAGAGCTGGGCAAGTTAAGGGAGACCAACAAGGGGAGTCAGGGAGGGAGAGGGAGAATGATGTGGTAGGGAGTGGGTGAAAAATTGAATGAGTCCAATTTGCAAATGATACAAAAATGTGGGGAGAGGAAAACTGAAAAAATAGCAAGTGAACTGCCGAGAGACCTAGACGAATTCAAGGCGTGGGCAGACCAAATACACATTTAACAACAGCAATAAGAGCTCCACACTGGGTGGTAAACAGCGACAGTCACACACACACACGAAATCTGGATGTTTATAGAGCTTCTTCTATGTGCTCATCAAGATAATAACAGAGAACAACATAACAGCCAGCAGAAAGCTTGGGTCTGTATATTGCAAAAATGTGGAATTTGAAACCAGAGCTGATTTGTCTTATAAGCTTTATAACATGTTAGTAAGGGCTCAGTTAGACTTCTGTGATCAGCTTTGGTCACCTCATGACCAAAAGGATTGTAGCCTTACAATGATGTCCGACAAAAACAATTCCTTGGAAATATACATGTATACAGACAGGTTAAGGGAGCTGAAAGCCTTCAGCTTAGAACAAAGGACATTGAGAGAATATTAAACATATAAGATCCTAAGGGGCAGAAATGATGCAGAGTCAACCCAGGGAGCTATTTTGTGCTCTCTGGAATCAAACAAGGACAAGAGAGCGGGAATCGATTTAGATGGAGAATAGGAAACTCCTCTTGCATAAAGAGTTGTGGGGAACAGACGGGCTGAGGATGCCCAGTGGGGATGCTTAAGAAGTTCTAGTTTCGCTTAGCTGCTATAATCCCAGACGAGCAAGATGTGCTTCTCATCTGTGTCCTTTTTCCTTGTGCTCTAAAAGCTGTGAGGCAGGGCAGGAGGGAGGGAGGAGGCTGTTTGGAAGAGATTCCGCCAGGCAAAAAGGATTTCCATCAGTGTTTCCTCCCAGTTACCCCCACCTCCGACTTCCCTCGCCACCCCCACCTTAACCGTTCCAACCTCCTCCCGGGCTGAACCAGAATGAGCACACCTCACTCTCTCCAGTCTGTCCCGAGCACAGCCCTCGGTCAGAACCCAGCCTGTTTGCGCAAGAACTCTGGGCCAGCTTTCAGGACTGATTAACCCCACTGGGGCAGAGGGCTGATCCCGGCACCTTAAATTCGAGCTGGGTGCTGAGAAAACACTTGTGCAGCATTTTGAGAGAGAAAGCTGACCTGCAGGGGGCCTTGTGTTCCCAAGTGGTGGACTGCAATAAAAGACCTTTATTTGTTTCCACGCCTAATTCCAGGATTTAGTAAGTAAATGAATTTGTAAATCTTGTTTCCAGTGACAAGTAGGGCAGTGCTCCGACTCCGGCTCACTGCCTAGCTCCCTCCTGCTGTACTGCTCGCTGTCTGGATCTAAAAACTTGGCTCTCCTATTCCTCACTTCCTATCTGAATGGGATCATAAAAAGAA